TGTTGTGTTCTGAGTGAGAAAGAGTGAAGAGCTGCCACATGAAATAGGAGTTAATGTGCTGTTCCCACACATGTAAAGTGGAGTGATGCCATTGCAAGAAAGTAGTGCACAAGCAAATATACAGAGTGAAAGAAGAAGAAAGTAGTGCACAAGCAAATATACAGAGTGTTTTGTGCATAGTCTTATCTGTTAAATGTTTTGTCAGTGTTATTTCTATAAGTGTGTTTTGTGTGCAGGCTGCTGAATGAAGAGAAGACCTGAAGTGCACACAAAGAGAAATGTGGTGTAAAATTCCTGAGTGAAGCACTACAGGCCGTCTTCCCCTGTGGACCTTTGTTTTGAGTCTTCTTTGCCTCTTCCTACATTTCCTATGAATGATATCAGGAGTGAAGATGTTTGAAAGTCAACAGAGAAGCTTGAGCATGTGGGGAATAAGTGTGAATAATTTGGTTGTTTAGAATTTGAGAGTACTAAGTTGTGATTTCCTTTGACATGACTTGGAAGTTAATGGTAGAGCTACACAAAGACATTTGATGTGACTTATTTTGATAGTTGTTTAGTGATATTTAATTGAACTGAAATTACCCAAATGTTTGTAGCATGTGGTCCCATCCATGCTGCCTCCAAGCCAAGGTGAAAGGTCAGACTGTCAAACAGGAGGTGGATGAATCCAATTTGATTTATAGAAGGGGGAACCCGGATTGTACTAAGCGGGGTAGAGAACAGAGGGGTGTTTGGCTGCTGCTTGAAACAGCAGTTGTACAGGTTGTATGTTGAAATGTCAGCCAATCATATGAACTTTGAGGGCCGACATTGAGAGGAAAGACTGAAAAACCTTGAAAAGATAATTTCATTGTCTCTGGCCTAGTAGCTCAAGGTGTTAGAGTCTTTCTCTAAGGATTCTAAGATTGGTGGTTAAGATCTAACACGACTTAGAAGTGTTTAGAAAGATCGTTCTTTTTACCTCAGACTGAGTGGCTTAAGAGGTTAGAGGGCTACTCTATGAACTACTACTACTCTACAGACAGAGGTTGTGCATTCAAATCTTGTTTGAGCTTACTACTACACAAAGGACAGACTGAAAAGCCTTTGAGAAAGACACTTATAATGTGTCTGGCCTGGTAGCTCAATGGGTTAGATACCTGCACATGAATTTTGAGGACATGGGATCAAGCCCAGGTCAGTCCATGATTTTTCAAGTCCTACATCCAAAGTGTAATTTCAAAAGCGTGCTGAAAGCAACTCCCAATGTGAGTGGGACTGGTGGCGTGGTGGGATAAGTACATGTGACCGTAAGGACGCAGCTACAAAGAAGCTGGTTCGTTGACCGTCTCCAGAGGCCCACAGGGATGGGTAAGGAGGGGGGCCATGTCCCCCTCCACATCTCTGGACAATCACGAGTGTCAGAACATAAACAGCAGCTGAAATGTTATTTAAAATGTTGAAATTTTATTACAACAACAACAACAACAACAACAGTGCTACTGTATTATATTACTTCATACTACGCTACTATATAATATTATACTACTACATTAATATATATTTTACTAAATTAGATTATTACTAGATAAATATATTTGAACTCACATCCTCTCAGTCTCTGGAGTAGCCCTCTAACCTCTTAAGCTGCTTGGTCAGAGATACATGGGTTCAAGCCCAGGCCAGTCCGTGAGTTTTCAAGTCCAACATCCAAAGTGTAATGTAAAAAGTGTGCTGAAAGCAGCTCCTAATGCCAGTGGGACTGGTCTGGTGGCGTGGTGGGATTGTTTGCGACTGTAAGGTGGAATCTTCAAAGTCCCTGGTTTGAATCCAGTCGTTGCCAGTTTGGAGATCCTTGCAGGGATGGCAAAGGAGGGGGGCTGTGTCCCTCTCCGAATTTCTTGACAATCGCAAGTAGTTGTTTATGAGACAGAAAACCAGCAGCAGCTGAATTTTTACTAAAAATGTCAAGTTTGCATCTTGAGTACTACATTTATGATAGGAACTACATGACTATATTAGACTATTACAGAAATTGGACTACTAGATGAATATATTTCAGAAGCCACCGCCCATTTTTTGGGGGGGGCTTGACATTTAGAGAACGTGTTGACCACATAAATGCTAGGCAAAGTGCTCGCATACGTAGTCAAGTGAAAATAATGTTTTATTTTTGAGTGTATTTCTGTTTCTGACAGTGTGAACCAGGGTTTGTTACTGCCAGATTATGAGAAACTGAAGGCTGAAGATCAGGAGAAGGATACAAAGCTGCAGAAAGTCATGTAGGTCCCATTTCACTCTTGGATGGAGTTGAGCTTAATCTGTTTTGTCAATGTTATTCATATACGTCTGTTTTCTGTCCAGGCTGCTGAATGAAGAGAGGGAACGGGCCAGAGAAGACCTGAAGTGCACACAACTTAGCTTCCTTAGTTAGCTAGCTGTGAATAATTTGGTTATTTTGAATTGGAGACTACAAACTTCTGATTTAGTTTGACATGACTTGGAAGTTAATTGAAGAGCTACACAAAGGCATTTGATGTTAATTTTCATAGTTGATTAGTGATATTTAATTGAATTTTGTAGCATGTGCTCCCATCCGTGTTACCTCCAAGCTTAGGTGAAAGGTCAGACTGTCAAACAGGCAGCATGTGAGTCCAATTTGATTTATAGAAGGGGGGAACCCGGATTATACTAAGCGGGGTAGAGAACAGAGGGGTGTTTGGCTGCTGGCCGAAACAACCGTTATTGTGGTGATATTGAATATAGTGAGGATCCGCCATGAAATAAAATGTGATTTCTGCTTCTTAATCTTCAACTTTTATTGAATCCTAAATTTTAGGGTGCTAATTAACACTTAACTTCATCCTGTGATAAATTTCCTGGCAAATCCCTTTCCTCATATTGGAATACAGTAAATGGAGTAAAAGTTATTTTTTACAGGCCGCCCTGTCTCATCCATCACCACTTAATGACTTCTTTAAATGTCACCGTGGAGGGTGCTGTTATACACGTCGGATTAAAATCTCATTAACTCAGAATGAGATCCTCAGCTCTCAATGTTTCCTTCAAAGGAAATCTGATGGCACAACATCAGTGATTCAGTCAAAGGCACTTGATCGATCTTGTTCCCTGGCGGCCTCTTGCTGCCAGCCGCTCTCCCTCTTTCCTTCGATATTACCCCCGACTTGTCACAAAACTCCCTCACAGCATCAGAGACGATGATGTGCCCCGGGCAAGCTGTGATATTTCAGTCTGTGACCTGCCCTTTACTTCACCCCTCGCTACAGATTCCTCCACTTTCCTGCCTTTTGTTTTCCTTCTGAAAGAGGGAATAAAGGCGAGGAAGAAGCAAGGAAAGGCCTAAAACAAAACCTTGATCTGTGACCTCTGACCCAGGAAAGCCTAAAGCTGCAGTCCATGTTCACGGTGACATTTGCTTTTATTCAAATCAACTGGAAATATATGCATTCCTTTGGAAAATATGCATACCCTATCCACTTGGCATTGTAGCTCATCTGTTACCATGCTAACCGCCTCCACCTGCAGGGAAACCTGTGCTTTTCCATGAACCCACACGTACACCTCGTGATTGATATTCACAAAGAAAAAACTTTTTCCTTCCATTTTAAATCTCGCTAAATATATATATTTTTTTATAGTAAATCAGTAAATATGTCAGAAAATGGAAATGCTTTAGTATTTCCACTGATTACAATATGACATCGACACTGTGATTAAACATAGACATAAAACAACATTAAACGAAACCTGCCTGAGTTGTGTGTCTCAGTATTAAACAGTTTTCTGTGCATCTATGGTTACACTGCAAACTGGAACTTCCAACAGCTAATATGGCATCCTTTATCATACTGAATTTCCAAAAACTGTCCAAAATACTTCCAGCCTGGACTGCATCTACCTACCTACTCAACTGATAGAGTTCAGGCGCCATCTGTTGTCCACACCACAAACTGTATCTATCGGGACAAGATGATAAAAATCTCTTCATTTTGCACAGTTACATTAAGCAAAACAGATCATGGCATCACAGTATTCTCAGCATTGACACAAACGGTGGTACTGATATCATATAAGTCACATCATTTTGTTTTTCTAGGGAAAAGAAAATTACTACAGATTATTAGTAGTGCATGTGCACATAGATATCGACAAGCAAGTGATCAAGATTAATGTCTGCGCACACGCACACAGCGGCTATTGATTATCTGATCATCTGTAAATCATCCTAATGCAGCAGCTGAATGCAGGTACTGATGAAATGCAGAGCGTGTGCATGTGTACGCGTGTTTGTTACTGTGATACCACCACAACCGCATTTCATGTTTATTGAAACTGGAGAATACAGAGATTAAGAAATTTTAAGCAGACTCTTGATCCACTCAGATACACAGTGAAAAAACGTTTCACCCAGAGAGTGAAAAAAATAAAATAAATGCAACAGAAACAAACACAGGTCGTCATCCTTCAAGAAGCTGCCGAGCAACTTAATTTTGCAGGTTTTTCCAAAGAAAGAAATTGAGTTGAAATTGATGATTAAGTGTCCAAATTATACACAAAATATCAACAACTCGTATCATACTCATAATCCAAATCAATCCAAGATTTTAACTGTAAGATTACCTCACTTACCTACTACATTTTCTTAAATTGACTAGATTTTCTACCTAGTTGCTGCAGCTGTTGCTTCTCTGGGCAATTTTAACGCACGACAACAGATTGCAGGGAAGGATTTTTCTAAACAATTTAAAGTGATGAATCAACTAAATGTCATTAATTTAAGTCACAAGAAGTTCAGTTCTGAATACAATCAACAAACTTATTTGAGTGAATGATAAAACATAAGCATGAAAGTTTACAGTGTGTTTTCAGCCTCCGACGTTATCGTCACATACATTCAAAGATTTGTTTAAATTACACTTTGATTTCTTTTAACTTCAGTTCACCTGCCTTCAATGTATTTACATATTCTAATTACATATAATACACTCGTTCTGATGTTAGTAATTATTGATTATGGATTAAAAAATGTATAAATCACATTGTAATATAGTAGTCGAATGCGCACGTGTTGGAAAATCAATTAGTTTGAGGAGGACAGGACGTGTTCGACATGCTGGCAAATATTCACATTTAGTCTTTGACATCAGAGAGAGGAAAACATTTTTATACAACAGGAAATGAGTTGAAAATACGTCTTCTTTTGCTGGGAAAGCTGCAATGGTACGAATGGTATGATGCCACAGGAGGCCAGTGTACAGCTGTTTCCATGATGTTTTAATGCTGCCGTCTTCTGCCACTAGAGCGCAGTAGTCATCCACTTCATCCACAGCATGACTCCTCAGTTTCATTTGAATTTCATTTGCATGGAGTGCTTCTCACTTTGCCCATATTTTACAATAAATTAGACTCTCACCCAGCAGGTCTATCAATTCTCTGTTCCTCATGATAATCCCACTGAAGTTCCTCCGGCAAACGCTGCCCGCTGTTGCACATCATCAGCTCCACCCGTCCCGTCGCTGCCGTACAGCACAGTGAGTTTTTCAAGTAACATCCACTCTCAGACTCTAATGATGCTGATGGAGGAGGAGGCTCTGTGGAGCTGAGACAGAAGCAAACAGTGAGATGGGGGCTGTGTGCACAAACACATGAGTCACAAACAGAAAGAGACAGAGGGTCACATACATGAACATGACTCAGAAACATCAGGAAGGCAGAGACTCAGACTCACGTGCACCCACACGTGCCTTAATGCACTCCATATATAATATCTGTCAAAGATTTATTATCTAATCAATGAGCTGCTCCACTCGTGCGTGTGTGTGTGTGTGTGTGTGTGTGCATGTGCGTGTCAGCTTTGAGGTTCAGTTCTCACTCACAGTGTTTTGGCTGAAAAATTAAAAATAACTGACTGTGGGGAGGCTGAGGAGACACTCGTTATCAAGGCAACCAGACATGAAATGAATCGTGTTTTGCACGTTGGGTTTCGTTGTTGCTTTCAACTTATCTCTGCCCTGGGGCGACATGTGCCAACAACAGGGTTTTTGTTTTTAGAGATCCTGCCGCTAAAACTGCACAAGAAACAGTTTTTTTAAATTAATATGCAGTCATGCCATATGAGTGAACTCGCAACATATGAAAAATTATTACAAACTTTAGTTTAAATGTGTCAGGTGTGTATAAAATTATGCACAAGATACAAGAAACATTTACATTTAACAGAAAACTACTGTCTAAAAAAGTAGCCCGAGGTTATATTTTGTTATTAAGATATATTTGTATAAAACTCAGTGACTGCTTGCTGATTGCTTCCAAAAACAATATGAAATGAAGCTATTTTAAATTTGGACCTGCAAGCAGAAATAATCTGCAAACATGTCATGGAGAACAACAACGTTCCGACTTTCTTCCTTCCATTTCTTAAAAAAATGATACGTCAGTCGTCTTAAGAGAACCGAGTGATTGCTGTGCTGCACCACTGATGTTTCATCACTTGTATTTGGACACAGATCGACCTTGTCAGATTGCTCACTCTTACAAAGATGCACAGCAACAAACCCAAAAAGCGTTTGCAGCTAGCTCTCTGTTTCCAGCCTGGTTGTTTTATATTTAGCCATGATGGCAGCAGCTCTGGTTGCTAGGAGATCTCTGATGCGACTACAAAAGCCCTTCAGAGGAAACAAAACACTCCTGGCAGCCAAGAATGATCATGTATTATATAGAGCTATGCTGCAGCTAAACAAAAGCTATGGAGAAGAGGAAGAAGTTTTCTAAATGAAGCTCAGCGCTCGGAGGAGAAATGAGTCACCCTGCTGCTGCGAACGGCTCCGTTGTGGTAGATGGGTGAGCTGCCGGCTGAAGCGTTGTAGTAGGAGGAAGTGGCGCGGACCAGCGGCCTCTTGGCTTTCTCCTTGGTGCCATTGGAGTCGTTGTCTTTGATGATGTCATACTGTCGGCAGAACAGGGCGATGACGGCTGAGGAGGACGAGATAGTAAAAGCAAAGTCAAACACATGAGGGAAAAGCAAAGAGCATCTTCATCTGCATGTGGACGTTATCACACCTACATTCAGTTTACTCATCGACGGGCTGCTGAACAGGCCCAGGAAGACTACTACAGACACACAGCATGACCACAGACACACAACATGACCACAGAGAGACACACAGCATGACCACAGAGAGACACACAGCATGACCACAGACACACAACATGACCACAGAGAGACACACAACATGACCACAGACACACAACATGACCACAGAGAGACACACAGCATGACCACAGACACACAACATGACCACAGAGAGACACACAACATGACCACAGAGAGACACACAACATGACCACAGTGACATCTCATTGAATCTGTGGGTCTTGCCCTTATGTAGGAGGGGTGGGGTGTGGGGGCTTTTACATCTCTGTGCCCAGGGACACGTTGTCTTCTCATAATCTGTCTCTGAGAATACTCCAAATACATCCTTACTTACACACTGTGGAGCACACACACACACACACACATCCAGGCTGACCTGCCCACAGCAGCAGCACGGTGGTGATAATGAGCAGCTCTCCTGTCTGCAGGTGTGGCGTCATACCCAGACCTTCCATCGCCGGTTCATCTGAGGACACATGAGGATTCAGCTCCGTCACATTTAGAATGATTATCATGATCGTGATAACTTATTTTCTGAAAACGAGTGTCTACATATGTGTGTGTGTGTGTGTGTATTTATTTACGGTGGTCCAGGACTCCGGCTGGATAATGGTCACTCCTCTCCAGAGTCCTGAAGTGGACGGCGCGGCTGGGTTGGCTGTCACCGTGAGGGCCGACGGACTGCACCTAAATCCAGCCAACAAAAGGTGAGAACATCCAGTTCTCCTCATACTCTTAAGGAAATAATGAAGGAGCCATATCATCACACTGCTCGGAAAATACTGGGTACATTCCCAGCCAGTCATTAATGGAGGATGACATTATGTAACGGTGAGAAGAAAGTGGCTGGCGAGGGTGTATTTAGCGAGCAAATGGTGCTTAGGTTCTTGGCCGGGATCCTGAATGATCACTGGAGGACGGATGGTACTGTAAATGTAGACGCAGAGTGAAAGATAAGAGAGGGAAAACAGATTAGACTGAAAATCCATCACAAATGAAGGTACTTTCAAGAAATAAGTTTTTCATGGTGTATTTCTCATTCAGAGATATTTCTGGCAGCGACAGGAGTTGGTCACAGTGAATATGAAGTTCAACAGTCACACAGGGAGAGAAATCCACCACAGAGCAACAATTACATCCACAAGAGGTCTCGCAGTGCTGCAGACTCCGCTGTCTCCACCTACACATTGAACCTGGGGGTTGAATTCAGCAGGTTTTCTGTGGAGGCAGCTGTGCAAGTCATTCTGGGAAAATAACGAATGTGGGTACCATGCAGAAGTTAATTACATCATTTCATTACAATATAAGTCATTGAATTCATCTGAAAGGATCCAAAAGATTTTTCTACTTGGAAAGTTTCAGGTTTGATCTGAGCCGACAGAGAAAGACAGATTCTCCTTTTTTTACTTCCCTCTCCGCTACAGGAAGGTCAGAGGTCGAATTCCAGCCCCCCTGATGCTGGCGAGGATCCAGTGCTTTGCTCAATGACACTTCTGCAGGGCATATGCTTGCTGACGAGCTTATTTAACCGAGTCCTCCAAGTGAAGGACAATCTGTGTCGGTCTATTAAGCCATAATGGATTATAAAGTTTAATAGAGTCATGATAATGGAGTCGCATTAAACACTCCTCCTTCAGAGAGGAGATGTAGTTTGTGCTGGCTTTTGATTGAAGCCAAGAAGACGTGTCATAAAGACAGTGTTGCCACCGTATGCTAATTATACGCCGAGAGGAGGTTAATAAAAGTAAGAGTTCATTTCTGAAATGCCATTTATTATCAGTGAAGTTCCTCGATCGAAGCTGCCCCCACAGACATCTGTGACTCATCTGCAGATTTCCTTTTTTACATTTTTACAAGTCTGACAAAAAAACAACAACTCTAAACTCAACTCCCCTTGTTAGCTGTTTCCAGATCTTTCAACCGCATTGTCATGGTCATCCGCAGAGGATGTATCTCGCCCAGTTATCATGAGGACGTGATACGTTTTCGCATGATTCTCACACCTGTTATCACATGACTGGATTTGATACTGAGCTATCTCCATGACTAACATCTGCTGAGGAAGACAGTGAAATGTGGTTGAAAGCTCAGGAAAAAAAGCTCTAATGTCAACCCTGGTTACCTTTAAAATAATTTGCATTGCATTCCAAGGTGTACACTGCTTCACATGCATAACAAAACAATACTTAACTGAACAAACACACACGACATCATATAATACACCAGAAAATAACTGAATAAATCGCTCACTTTTCATTTTCATTCACTGCAGTTTGAGAACTTGGTTCAACTGTCTGACCCCAGTCTGTGAGCAGATGAGTAGCAGTTTAGCTTTAGGCTGAACAGAGCGATAACTGCACAACACTGTGTTAAAGATTGGAAAAATAATAACAGAATCTCTGTGGTTCCTGAGAAAGTAAATATGTTGTTGTGCATTGCTACTCAGAGTTGAATACATAAATATTTGTAGGAGGAAACGTGTTGAATCTGCGACACTGGGATCATCTTTAGTGCCAAACAAAGACAAGAGTGTAGCATCGTCTGAAAACGATGAACTTGAAATATTAGGACCCTGAGGTCGTCCTGAGCACCACAGAGGGAGACGAAGATCAAATCGTCTCTGCAAGAAAGAGAGCACCAGCTGTAGTTCCAGGCTCCTCTACTGTAAGTGTAAGTATCAATGTGACAACAGCATCATCTGTGCTACTATTTCGTTTATGTGCAACCTGGTAAGTGTCCAGTTTGCCACCCACAGGCCTGGCGAGCTGCTGGACCACAATTCTTTCTCATCACAACAGCACAATAATCACTGGGTTACATTATTGCAGCGTTTTTGAAGACAAGCAAGAACATCTGTGTGTGTGTGTGTGTGTGTGTGTGTGTGTGTGTGTGCATCTCACCTGGACACTGTAGTGCGTGTCCTCGTCCAGGTCCCACAGCACGCACCAGCGGCTGGACGTGTTCACCTCTCGGATGGAGCGCTGCATCAGGCCGTCCTGCCTCTGGAGACGGGACACATGTGCAGATACATGAGGAGGGCAACATGCCACCTGGTGGACGCTTACGCACACTTACGCCAAGCAATGTGGACACATGAATATGCACACTCATGCACTCAATTAGCATGTAAATGACAGGAATTTAAATAAAAACTTTGGAACTAATCATTGTATTTAATTCACAACTGAAAACTGCCTTGAAAACAGGTCAAATCCAGGTCTGTATTCAAGAAAACCTCACCAGTCATCAGGTCTAATTTAATAGAAAAAATAACTAGCTGCATTATTTCACTACATACAGATGTTACAAATGCAAATACAGCCCGAGCGCTAACAGGCAATTTCACCTCATATAAATTCAGCTCAAACACTCACTGTCCCACTGGAGGAAATTAGGTCTGCAGGCAAGGTAACGCCAGCAATCATGGTTTGGAGGAAACAGACAAAGTGTCATGTACGGACGCAGATACTCTGCCAGTGCAAAAAGCAGCTTTTACCACAGAATAAGTGTTTAACTGTCACTCAACCACTGGCTTTGAATTGAGGATGATTCACAATATCAGAGTTCAATTGAAAACACAATAAAAAAAAAAACCTCTAGGTTCTAATCTAACAGCAGCTCAGAGTTGAAACGATTTACACAGCGTGAATAGCGTCTAAAATCCACAACCTTGGCTTCTGATGTTGTGACACTGAGGTGTAAAGGGGTTAACAGCCGCAGGGCGAGAACTCCATTAAGCCTCACAAACTGCTCTTCCCACTGGATTAAAGTAAAGTTTAGTTTAGAAGGAGACACAAGTTTCCCAGTGAGTAAATGTGGCCATAAAGCACTAAAAGCTGAGGAGAAGTCAATAAAGAGGAGGCTGGCAGGACGCTCCGGGCCCTCCAGATGTCTGAATCAGACACTCAGCACAGTCAGAGCCGTGTCCTCTGCTCCTCTGGCAGCGCCGCCGGCAACGGGTCAGCGAGGAAGGTTTTACCGGGAACAAAACACAAGATATTTTCTGGGGGGTTAAAAGGATTGTTAATCAGTGCCGGTGACTCAACGGTGATTCTGCAAGATTCTCAGAGTTTGGAACAAAAACCAGACAAATCCATCAAAATCTGAACACGATGGTTTATGGACTTTCCTGTATTCTACTGTTTACATCTTACATTTCACACCCCGATGCTGCTGCACAGTAACTATCACAGTGAATACTACAGAAACTACTGTGCGATTAGTCCCCTACACCCACCTGAGAGGCAAAAAATAAAGACTGTAAGGCACTTCCTGCTGCTCTTTAACAGCTGTGAGCGCTTTGTAATAATTCAAGGCAACATTTCATTTGTGTTAAACTTCGTCTACAGAGCTGCTTCTTCAACATTTTCTTTAAAACTTTCAAGCGTCAAACGACAAGAGGAAACGGTTCTGTGGTGATTATTCCTCAAAGTGTAAAAGTGGAGGAGGCACAATAGGAGTTTTTCACTTGGACAGATTCATTGTAGCGTGGCGGCTGATGGATCATCTGAGGCCAACCGATGCTTTTTTTTAAAAAAAAAAAAAAGTCTCAGCGAGGACAGAGGAGGCGCGTTGTCACGCTCAAGGTGACCTCAGTGAAATGTTCCCTGTGTGACGAGCAACCCTGGAGCACACAGGTGAAGACTAAGTGTGGTTATGCAACTGTTTTCAGGTCAGGACAGAAGTCAGCCGTTCAGTGTATATCAGCAGTTTCTTCTAGCAGCAGGAAAAACATACTTTAAAAACTATCTGCAGACCTGGGTGGATTTATTTCACCGACCTCCATCCACAGATATGAATTAATCATCAATTAACCTTGTGTCTGCGACAGTTTGGGATTTATGAATCAGAAAAAGGATTATTAGGAGTTTCATATATACATCTTGAATTGGGTTACTTCCTGTGTGTGTGTGTGTGTGTGTGTGTGTGTGTGTGTGTGAGTTGCATAATGCGTGGATCTCAGCAGCTGGCGCTCTGGGAGTTGGTGCAACTTCAGATGAGTGAAGCAACTCAGATTCACTCGCCCTGTTTCTCCTTCACAAACAGAAGCCTCAGCTCGTTACTGAAAGACACAGTGTGCGAAATAATCTCCTAAAGCAGCAGAGGCCTGTATGTGGATCCAAATCACATGCAGCTAAAGCTCGACGCTGAACCTCTGCTGCTTGTTTTTAAAAAACAGAGGTGGATGGAGGTAAGCTTGATTGACAGGAGGCAGCGGAACTCTATATAAATGCATTTCCTGGGATTTGTTGCCCTTTTGTGCAGAGAGCAACTTTTGATGACTAACACTAGAGCTCAGTAGATAGATAAAACTGCATGCATCTACCTGCTCCCATCACCTCCCCTATTAATATTTGAGAGGGTTTTTACATAAGTGCTTTCTGAGGTTATGGCAGGAGATGTTTTACATCCCCATCCCTCTGTTTTTTGAGAAGATGCCACAAGGTTGATGGATTCTGAGTCAGACGTGAGGCGACTTTAAGAGGAAAAAAAAAAAAAAAAACACGGAGTTGCTTGGCATGGCCACCGCTGTGGATGTTCCTCCGGTGCGAGACGAGTCCCGGCCAAATAATTTCCACTAATGGAGACAACTCCCACTCAGAGCTCGGCTAATGTCTGATTCTCCTTTTGCCAAACCGTGGGTGGTAAAAACTGATTAGAGTGAGCCGAGGTTTCAGGAGAACAAAACGTGGTGATTTATGAGCAGAATTAATGTGAAATGTCTATTACAGCAATGCAACAGGGGGCACTTGTACTCCAGGGGGGCACTTTCTGTTTAGTTGTAAAGAAGCTCAACTTATTAGAAGAAATTTGAATTGATTAGAAAAAAAAAAACTCCATAAAGAGTGAACTGAAACACCTGTGTTGCAGTTGGAAGTGTACGAAAACCAGTTAGCAAGACAGCAAATTACACCATTCCCACTTTCTAAGAATTATATTTCAATTCAAGTGTTTCCATTATAAACTTTACTCTGCTTTTTCCTGCTAATTGGATACTCAGAAAGCCGCACGCCTTCCTTTGGCTGGAAATCTGTAATCAGGAGATTTGTTTTTTTTATTATTGCTCCAAGTCCCAACGTGAAGCAGCAGCCGGCCTCGACATTCACAGGCTTCTCCAGTTCAGTGTTTATGAGCACATTCCCCTGGCATTTCCAGACTTTTTTCTTTTTAAGGAGACACACTGGACCCATCGCGAGTCAAAGTGTCTCACAACGAAAATGCTGACTGTCTACCTGCCTCGTGAGTGACACAGCGTTTTAAAAACCCCTGCAGACAACAGCAAGAAGAAGAAGGGAAAAAAAAAGAAAGGAGATGAATCCACTCCAAGAAAAAAAGCCAGGTCACAAAAAAAAAAAAACATAATTCAGCTCTGAATAAAGTTTCTGGCCCTGAACATGGCAGAGAGCCAACGTTTCTGGGCAATTTATTTATAATTTATATCCCTTCAATTTGTAGCCCTGCAAAATTAATTGGCCTTCAACCAAACGAGAGCGCGGGGGGAAAAAAGGTTAGATCAGGGTAAATTTGATGTGAGGCAGATTGACTGAGTTTAATGGGGAGGCTGAGAAATTATTTTTCAAGCTTTTTGAGGATTAAACCAATTAAGAAAAATCAATCTTTGAGCTCACATGCCATGCAGTAACACACACACACACACACACACAGTGATGGTACAAGGCTACTGTACTGTACCTGCTGTGAGATGGCGTATCCAATGACAGTATCTCCCTGAGGGACGTTCCAGGTCACCATGGCCGAGTGCGCCCTCAGCTGGGTCACCGATACATTCACTGGGGCTGCTGGCACAGCTGTTAAAACACACACACACACACACGCACACACACGAACACACACACACACACACATTAGTTGTTTGGGACGGTCAAGAGCCCCCACGTCTAGTTTGCAGAGCGTTCTTGTCCTGCTGCAGCCTTTCAAAATAAGAGTTGTATAAAAACTTTTTTTAAATAGCCACATAAAACACAATGTGTCCAAAAGTATACAGACACCCGAACCTCATATCTCTGTGCTTATGATTACTAATCATGTTTCTGAGATCAAACTCTGCTACAGTTCCCGAAAATGCACTAAATGGCCAAAAGTATGTGGACATGCCAACATGTGACTAGTGAGATCCCATACCAGAACCAGGAACAGTAATGCGACGTGATAACAAGGCCAGATTTTGGAGCCTGGCTGCAGGGACTTGATGAGGCCAAGTTCACAGTCCAGTTCGTCCTAAAGCTGTCGGACGTGGGCTGACGTCAGCGCCAAGTCCTTCCACGCCAAAGTGGAAAAAAACATTTCCCTATTTATTGGCAGAAACATCAGTTTCCTGAAGCGTTGAACTGACCTTTTATTGAAACTAAGGGTCCCAGCCAACGCAATGAAAACCAGACAGACTTTTGGCAATACAGTGTGTCTGCATACAAAACCAGCTGGACCAAAAACTTAATTGATTACACCTCACAAATCACAATTTTATTGTTCATGGTTTCACCAAAATAGAAGTAAAACTCCTCCCTTCAGAGTCAGAACTTGAAGTCATTGCATCAACAATCTGTTACTTCTCCTGAGGATGATTATACAAGATCTCACTCTTTATTTCTCTCAGGCAAATTAATACATTAAAGATGAAAATACTCACATGAATAATGCACATCAGTCCCCTGGTCTCTCCTAAGACTGTTCTAAGTTTAACAGTATTTCTCTTCTTTGTTATTTAGCATTTTCTTTTACTTATTATTTTCATCTATACATGTTGCTGTTGCATTCTAATGTGAAGCACATAAAGTTTAGTTGAAAATTCTTCACTAAATGACATAACCTTGGTGAATCTATATATGAGTGAGTCATTGCAGTGTCCTGCTCTCAAGCTGGACGTCCTGATGTCCCTTTTTTTGTTTCTTTGTTGTTTTTTTTTTGTTTTTTTTTTGGGGGGGGTGTGTGAGTTTCTATCACGGGCCTGTCCAAGTGTCCTTGAGCAAGACAGTGGTGAGGATGGCTTCCCTGCTTCACTGTGATTGGCTGTGGATGAAAGTGTCAACTACATGGCTAAAATGGAAATGTATGGTCATGTGGCAAAGGATCACACACACACACACACACACACACACACACACACACACACACACACACACACACACACACACACACACACTGTACTGGCACACTTGAAGGCTCATGTTAATGATTCTCTGGGGGCAGGTTGAAAATGATGGAAAATCCTAAGTGTTGGCTGAGAGAGTGTGAGATTTTTTATCTCTAAATCATCAGTAAAGCCGTGACGTCCACTGAGACGGAGGGAAAACCAAGGTAAATTCTTCTTTATGGAGGTAAACAGCAAGTATTATGAGGGAAGAGAAGAAGGAAAAAGGGAAGGAGAGAAGTGAAAAACAGACTAAATAAAAGGGACAGGAAGGTAAACATCTGGAAGAAAGAAGCAAAGAAAGAGAGTGAAAGAAAAAAAGGTGAAAGAAAGAGGAAGGCACAGAGAAAGACTGAAAGGTCTAAAGCTTGAAAAATACACAAAAAAGAAAGAAAGAAAAGAAAAAAAGACAGAAACACACAAGATAAAACAAAGAGTTGAAATGAGATGGAAGTAAAAAAACAACAAAGACAAACAAAGAAACAAAGACAAAACAAGACAGAAACACAGAAAAACAAAACGGAGACAAAAAGAAATAAAGAAAGAAAAAACACAAAGAAAGACGCAGAAACCCAGGAAGGAAAGGAAGGAAGGGAAGAAATGAACAAGCATCCTGCAGCCTCCTGGTGATGATATAACATCTAATGGAATCAATAACTGGATTTTTACTGCGAGTCAGGAAGTATTGATGACTTCACTTCATCCACTCCAACTTCTTTTTCTTTCTCTTTTTTTTTTTAATGCAGGACAAGAATAGCACTCTTCATTTCTCATCAATTTGTCGGCTGCAGAAAGCAATTAATATGAGCTCACTGGAGGAGTGTGGTGTGTGTTTGTGTGCTTCTGTGTGTGTGTGTGTGGGGTTAAAAGGAAAACACCATCAGAAGTGAAGAGCAGCCAATTAAAATCAAGGCTAAAGCAGCACATTTAAATGCTGAGGTTTTGCATTATGTTATTTGTTATTGAAGTCGCAGTGAAATTTGGATAGAAAGAATAAGAGGTTAGGGGTGAGGGCCGGCGTCGCTGGCTCACTTCCTGTTATGGAACCAAATTGTGTTAATAAAAACAATCATCTCGCAAAGTTTGTAGAGCTAATTATCCACTGTTTCACACCGCTTTATTCACTGGCCTTTTTTAGCTTGCTAACCTTTTAGTCCGTCATGTTCAGAATTGTATATTTGCTCCTTTAATATGTTATTTTCTTGTTTTTGCTAGCGTGTTTACATGTTCTGTTTATTTACTACGTACATTATACATTTGTTTTATTTGCTTGTATTTCTTTTAATTGTCCTTTGTACAGCACTGTGGTCAGCTCACGTTGCGTTCAAATGTGCTCTAGGAATAAAGTTGACTTGATGACAACAGCCAACGCTCAAATCAACAACACTGACTTTATGGATTATTTCAAGAGGCTGCAAATACAGTAGATATTGCATCAATTAAGTTAAAGCATCAGGTGGAACTAAAAATTCACACCCCCTTGAGAACACTGCAGGGGGCGCTCTCACTGCAGATAAGCAGATCCAAACGAACAGCAAGGATACTGAAATCATACATCTGGCTTTGAGGGAATATTCTAGTTATTTTATTGTGTTTTATTATTATTATTATTATTTTAATTTATCCTTCACAGCATCACTGTGTTTTTTCACTGTCTTCTGAACCTTGTTTGTAGCAGAGGAAATCAAAAGAAAAATCACAGTATCACCTCTCCCTTTGCTGTAAAAAAAAAAAAAAAAAAAAAAGGCTCATTTCCAGGCCGCTGGAGGTGACAGCAGTGACACCAGCTCTCCAAATGTTTGGTGACAGACTGAAAAAAGAAGAAGAAAAAAAAAAAAATCAGTCCAATTTCAAAGTGAAACCATCCAGTGAGGCTCCGTGGAGTATGACCGTGAATGTCAAGCTCTATCTCGGGCTAACAAGCTAAACACAGCTCATTATGCAAGCCAGACTTCCCCCGCTCCCCGCAGGACTCACCGGCCCGGCTGCCAGGAGTGAATCCACACACTCTCTTAACTTCAACAAACGCACAAATCAATCTGTGACAGTGAGTTTCTTCAGTCTGGCATATATGTTTCAGCTCTCACTTCCTACATTTCCCAGAATGCCCCATCACAGCTGACAGGGAAGGATCACAAACCAGCGTGTGTAGGTGGAGTGAATGAAGCAGCACAGCCAGAGTAAGAAGGTGGGAGTTTTTTTCAGTTGAGAAAAAGCAGCATTTGCGTGTCAACCCAACCTGTCCTGTGGCTGCAATGCATTCTGGTCTATTTCCAGATCCCGTGGGAGTAAAAATTGGCCATTGCTCTCTGATAAATTCCTCCCTGTGTAATTACTGAAGGTCTGTGGTGAACAGCGGCTGTACGAAGAAGCTCCTGCTCTTTGATTCAGAGGACATGATGTTTGCAGCTGCATTTTTTACATTTCGTCATCTTCTAAGATTAAACCGGTCAAAAGTATGAGGACACCCAAACATTACACCCACATCTTACTAATATAAATTATTCAAGTTATATCATTTAGAAGTTCCCTGTATTTCACATTTCTGTCGACTGAATTCATCACTACTCTCCTCCACCTACTGAAAACAGTCAGCCACAATGTGAGAGCACATTCACTGAGAAACGCTGGAGACTCTATTCAAGGGAGAGATGTCAAAGTCTGTCCAAAAAGTCCCCAGGTGGTTTCTTTTTTTTTTTTTTTTGGGGAAAGCTGGAGACTAGCTGAAATCAAAAGACCAGACAAGCCACACGTACAGATTTTTTCCACCAACGATGCACAGATTTAGCCTTCGACAGTCGGGACGAACACAAACCTGTGTGACAGCACACTGGAAGTTCTGGTGGTAGACGACCCTACAAAACAGCAATTTCTGTGTTTTTGTAGCAAAACAAACATGGACAGCAACTGGCAGAACACACTTTATATATACATATATATATATATATATACAGTATGATTTACTCTGAAAAAGCCAAAAAAGAAAGAGGATAAAAGCTCAGAGTTTGCGTGAGATCCCAGATGGAGAGCCGTGGGAAACGTGGTCCGTCGGGCGATGCACAAGTGATGTCATCAGTCGACAATAACAAAAATGACTAAAACTATCTTTATGGATCTGAAGATTTAAGATCAGCGTCTTTACATATCACACACTACAGGACTGAACTGAACCTGACTGGAACCTGGTCCGATCAGCTGTCACGCTCAGATCAGATTCATGGCCAGAAGATTTTGGCATCTGAAAAGCCTCTAGACTCATGGATCTGTTACTCCAACTGGACTTGTTGTATTTCATGTTTCACTGGTACCTGAACTAACCACAGCCCACCAACGCAGCTCCTTGTGTTGTTGTAACGCAGGGCTCGATGCCTGCTAACACAAGCCAAAAAATGTACTTTAATTTCTGTCTAAATGCATCTTTTGTGTTGAGGCCGGTTCCATTTCTCTCTGGACCTGGCTTTATCTTTGTGCACTGAGGCTCTGACAGCAAAGGATCCTCCCTATACTGTATCCACATTCAGTGTCCACATACTTTTGGTCATGATGCCACAGGAGGATTTTTTCCTTCACCCAGGGAGGAGAGTGAGGGACTTGCAGACATTCAGAAAACAAACATGTATATGTAATAAAAACATGCACAGAAAGCCCATCCTCCACCTC